GGGGTTCTCTACCCTGCTTTCCTCCCACGGTCCCAAAACACGCACGTTCTGTTAATTGGCGATTCTAAATTGTCCCTAAAAGTGACTGTGAGTGTGTGTGGTTGTGTGTCTCATTCATCTGTGTGAGATCCTGTGATGGACTGGCCACCTGTACCCCTGCGTGTCCCCCCCCCCCCCCCGGTCAGTGTGCCACACCTCAGGTCCACCTTTACCTGGTCACTAACTGACCGGGACAACCCTCTGGCTGGTTTTTCTGATGCTAGCACCATCAGTGTCCAGGAGAATATACGGAGTACATGATGGCAATTATTTGCAGTCTCCACTTAAACTAAAATCTCTTATTTTTCTAGATCATAATAAACTATTCTGAAGTGCTACACAAATATTATCACTTCTATGTCAAGTTCCGTGAGATGAATTAATGACTGTGCTATTTGCAAAGATGTATATTCATATATTCACTTTTTTCCCACTTCTCGAGTGGGAATTGTTGAATGTCTATTGTTTCTTTGCTATGTCTTTTTTTTAAAATACATTTTATGGTTTGAGCTTGAAATTATATCATACAAACATGGCTGTAGAATGTACAATGTTTAAATATGAAACATATATCGACTTACCTATTTTTAGGTTCACAGAGAATGAAATAAGTAACACATTTTCCTGATACTTTAGCTTTTTCAAATACTTTTGTGGCACAGGAGAAAATCAATTATTTTTATAATCTACTTTTAAACTGTCTAATAATCAGTTATGTAATTTTTTTTAATTACACATGAAGGAGTTACTGAAAACAAAGTTGGATTCATTGATTATCAGAAGTATCACAGGCAAACACCTAAAAAAACCCTCATTTTAACGTCCATTTTTCACCAATATAACTCTTGTATGCTAAATTTTGCACGTTAATTGTTGAGTGTAATGTCTTTTTAATCATTTGAGGATCAAAATAAATGACTTCACATAGTTAAAAAACAAAAAAACTGCTGCTAACATATAGATATACACACATTTTAATGGACATGTAGAGATCCAGATAATGGCTGCCCTGCAAACACCTTTGGCCCCTGTTCCCTGCCTCCCTTAACACACACACACACACACACACACTCCCAGAAACACTTCAGCAGAACCGTCCTCTACCTATGGCTCTGCCCCTATCTGCTGCTCCCTGCTGCTGTTGTTTGGAGAGGTCAGCGGTGTTTGTTTGCCCAGAGGCCCGTGGTCTGATAGCGTTTCAGACTCCCACCACATCTCAACCCGGGCCCTTATCAGCCCACTCCCCGCCAACTCCAGCCTTGTCTTTTAAAAGGAACACTTCCCCAGGAAATTATGGAGAGAGTGGCAGATAGACTGCGTCTCAATCCGTCACGGTGCGGACCTCGGAGTGGACAGGCCGACTCACGGCAGATTTTGGCTCGTCCAGGATCAGATATACCTCTGATGTCCAGCTCTGGCCCCGTCCACATGGCACTCGCTCATTAAGCAGAGCCCAAACGGATCATTTTGGTGCCTTTTTGTTGGTCACCAAACAGGCAGTTAACAGCAACTGTCCAATCCCAACGGCTGCTTGGGTCAGCAAGTTCTGATGATACACTTCACAGTAGCCAACCTATGAAAGAATTTATTTTCTAAATTTTGAAAGAATGCATTTCTTAACTTGAGCATCCAACCCCTGTTTTTTCTAATCTAAAGTTTTGTCTTTAGATTTGCTTTTTTTTAAGTGCATTTTTTTTATTTGCAGATAAATTAAATGCAACTTTTAACACAGTTTGTGATCTAAACAGATCCTCCACAGAAAAAAGGCCTTTGGCGTGTCACCGGTCAAACGTCATGTAGTGCCACAATTTTAAAAGGGAATGACAACAACGAAATGGAGCAAAAAAACTCAACTAAACTTAAACAATTTCACATTAGGCTATCTCACAAAGTGAGGTAGTATATGGCAAATTAATACAAATTATTTTCCTCAATTTTGTTGAGAAATTTGGGCTAATTTATTCAGATTTGGGCTAATTTATTCCATATTTTTCACAAAACATGAGTCTGATTAAAATAAAAAAAGTCTGATAACAATCAGACCAACATTCCAAGTGGCCTCAGAGGAAAAAGAAGACGAAAAACTATGATAAGATTGTTTCCCCAACACTGGATCCATATATATATATATTTTTTTCTTTCTTTTTCCGTGTGTGTGTGTGAGAGAGTGTGTATGTGGATATCATGGATGTGTGGATTTAAAGTCACCACTATTAAATCGGCTCTTTTGCCTCGGATACAACAGAAGCCGAGAATGAGAGAAGCAGAACAAAGAAGGCAGCAGTGGCCTTGACCAATTAACATTCCTGTGGCCTTTATGAGCTGCCCGGACCCGCCCCGTTCACTCACACCTCATAAAAGTCACAAACATCAATTCTTCCAAACCATAACTGTCATTATAATCACATTAAAAACAACCCACTGAGCAATTTACAGTGCACACTAGGAGCACGTTTGCCGGGAGTGAGGAAGCATTAATTTAACTGGAACACAAGTGAATAAAAAAATTAGGGGAGGTTTATTGAGAGCAACTTGACAAAATATTTAAGAAAATTGACCAAACGACAGACAATTGGGGCAAACCTTCTCCACCACCAATATAACAGCTCTTTAACAGACCACACAGTGCAGATGGATGAATTTGTCTTTTGTCCCTCTGTTGTTAAATTAAATCTCACAGCAAACTCAAAGAGGTCTTTCTTTTTTACTTAACCTGATGATGATGATTGTGATGATGATGATGAAAACACAACATTAGCACAACTCTGTGTGATTACAGAGGAACCATTGAGCTTCCTGGATGAAGTCCCTGGGGATGATATCAACTGGTACTCTTGGTTAACTAATATGGTAAACCGATTAGTCCAAGACCAATATTTACTAGCCTTTGGCTCTGCTATGATTTAGCTCTGTTTAAAGAGAACAACATCTGGATCTTTAAGCTGCTAAACACTGATATGTTTATCAGTGTTTTCTGCCTGCGGTTGTTTCAGAGGTAAAGTGAAAGAGACATCCTTTACATTTTGAGGCTTCCTTTTATTTTATTTTTTGACACAGCAATTTCACATGACGAAATGTTAAACCGAAAACTTCAACGTTCATGACTCCAGGAACACAATCTCTGCTAACCTGTGAGTTGAGCAAAAAATGTAAATGAGATGATGTTAAAAAGCCAAATTCTACCAGTTGAAAAAAAGAAAAGAAAAAACAAACACAAACAATCAGGCACGAACAAAACGGTGTTCTATGTTACAGCAAAATTGATTATTAATGAATTGATCATTTTCACTATGAAACCGAATATAAAAGGTATTTCTGATATTTTATTGGATTGTCAATTAATGCTGTATATTTTTCTGTATCGTAAACAATGACATTAAAAAGACATATTTACTCTTCTGTTGGAATAAATAAATTAATGAATGAATGCCAGATAAATTTGAATGGTTTATTTAGAGAACTATAAAAACAAAATCAGAAAGCCAGAAAAAGACATTGTATATCTCAAAAAAGTATGTATTGATATATATGAGTGTGAAATTTGCCATGGTAAATCTATTTTGACATCTGTGCTCTCTTTCCTTGTGTCTTCCTTTAAATTCTAAGTAATTGCTAGAAAAAAAAAGAGAAATGAGTTCTCCCCGGAAACCACATGGAAATCATTAAGAAATAGAGGTGAGTTAAAGCAACATTCTTAGGAAATAAAGGATCTCCCTATTTGACCTCAGATTTGGCAGAAATAATGAAAAATAAAATCCTCTCTGCGCCAAACTACATGATGTTTTTGTCCAATTTACTTTAGCTTTCCTGTATGATGGACAATAATGTGAAACTTGACAGGACCCGAAATTGGTCTGATTATTTGGGACCAACTATGAACTGAAGCGTAAAAGCTTATTGTGAAGACTGTGGCACCCTCTGCTGATCTCATCTTTTAGAACAGCCTGCAACACAGACATTCCTGACCCTATTGGCAAAATGATCAATTGTAGACCTTTGACCATTTCAGAGGCATAAATGAAAAGGGTGAAGTCTACCCATCTATTGATGTAGACTTTGGAATGATTTGTTTGTTTTATTTAAAATCATCTAGGAAAACTTTGGCGGAAAAAGGACAAATTAAAAAAACACTTGTTTTTGGATGTTTCTGATTTTGAAATCCTGATGTCCTCGAACTAATCCTGAGTTGGACATGCAGCACTTCACTGGACTGCTATTAGAACCCACTTTCCTGTGTAATTATGGGTATGTTTTTAATGTGTATAGGTCAAGTGGACAATGGTGCATCACCCAATAAAAAATAAAAAAATGTCCACGATGAGATTCTGTTAAAGAGGAGCCGATAATAAATCAAGGGGTTGAAAGAGCGTGAGTGAGAAAAGGGATGAGATGGCTGTGAATATTAGAACAGAATGAGAGTTGCATGCAAGGTTCTATATGAACAGAATGCATAAAAATATGTTAACATTCAGTATCTGATTAGTAAGAAATCTTAAAACGTATGCTGTCCACTTGAGTGGACATCTGGAAAAAATCCTTGAATTGTCAAATTCTTGATAACAAATATTATAAATCACCTTTTTCATGTATTAAGAAAATAAAAAACACTTTGGGAAAATATTCTGACTAAAATTACCATAACCATGCATAATATGGTTAAGCTATGACTCCCATGTCCACAAAAAAGAAACAATATCTAAAGGTGTCTTATCTTTAGGCCTGAAGTCAACGGAAAAAAGTGGAAAACCAAACAATCAGTCTAAAAGCTCCTTTTGGAGATCACGCTGCATTCTATGTATAAATGAAACTGGAAATCAAACAACTGAACTGAACATGTTCCCAGTTACAAAAAGTGGTTGCAGTACTAGCACTAAATTCAAACTGAATTCTGACTTTTTGGTCTTCACATTAAAAGTAGAATATGTTACACTACGAACAAATCATTTCAAGATTAGCTTTGTACAGTTCAATAACATTTATTTCTTTGTTCACATAACAAAATACATGAATAAATGCATATCATATACACGTAAATTCTCAATATGCCTTATTAATTCAGATTTAATTCATTCCTATTGTCAGCATTCATTCATATTGTCAGTATGTTGTCAGCATTTCTGCTTCCACTGACGAGGCGTCAGGCTGGTGTTCAGATTGAGGTTTATTGAGGTTTATTGAGGTTTATTGAGGTTTATTTGTGAACGCGGGGCTCCTCCCTGCTGGTGACGATGAGGTCATGTGTTTCTGGCCTTGACCATAACGATTGGGATCTTTCTCCTTTCAATCTCTCTGGCCATTTGACACCAGGAGCAGGGTGCGCAGAAGGTGGAGTACACACAGTCCCTACACATAGTGCCCTAAAAAGGAAAAGGAACAATTAACTGTTACTTTAACTTCAAATGAGAATATGTGAACAACATATACATATATATATATATGTATTATTTAACAAATGTGAAAGTGTAACAGACTGCTGTCATATTGTAAATAGGTTTCAATAACCTTATTTTTTTCTGAATCAATCAGTTTTTATTATTTTGAAAATAAAGTTTTGGCTAAAAGTGAAATAACATTCAGCTTTTTCAAACATAATTTTTCTTTGGGGCTTGTTACCATTCACTTAAAAATGTTTTATACATTCCAAATTCTGTTTTCAGTAATTGATCAACTGAAAAATAATGGATCATTTGTTTAAATTCAATTGAAAGATGTTCCTGAGGTCTTACTCTGATGCCGTAGCGGTGTCTCATGGAGACCCTGGTGGACATGGTGATGGCCGGTATGAAGCCACTGAAGATGTCCAGCAGGGGCAGGCAGAGGGGCTCGTCGTATTTTCTGGAGGTGATGCAGGCAAAGCAGGGGCAGCACCAGAAGGCGAAACAACCTGTGGCCGGAACAAATGAAGAAAACACACACGTAAACAGAGAGACACCTCCCACAGCCCGTGTTGTTTTAAGATGCAAACAGAAAAGGAGGCCGGGCCTGTCTGTGAATACATACCAGAGTTATCTAATCTTTAGGTTTCAGGAGAAACTATCTCATTGTAATCATCAGCGTTTTCTAACCTGTAGCATTACTGATTTAAATCAAAGCCAAACTACATAAATCATGATTTACTGTACTGATTTTTTTTACTGGATCCTATAAATTTACTCTTTGAAAGAACTACATAAATACATAATTTTGTAATGTCATTGTCTGAATGTGTGTCTCTCTGTTTTAACTGATATTGTATTATGTGATTTTGTGTTGTTTTGTCTTCCTGCCTCAGGACGACAGATGCGAATTAGCAACTATGCTAGAATCTGGCTCATTTACAATCTGTATGAGATTGTTCATTAATGTGCGCTGTCCTGATTAAATAAATAAATTTGAAATTTGAGAACATTTAGACAAAAACTGGCTGCATTACCCGACAGATGCACGTGATGAGAATATATCATAATAGAGGCTCAGAAAGACTCACACTGGGGGATATCATCACAGCAGTCACAAATCTCCGATCCCCACTCGTCCGAGTCCTGGGCCTCCATCACAGGCTGGGGCTGCCTCACCACCATTTTACTCGTCATGACGGACTCTAAAAGAACACACACCGTGTCCTCAATCAAACCCAAAGTCTCACATATAAAACTACACATGACAGTTTAAAATGTAAAAAAAAAAACAGCAGTTATTCATTAATAATAAACTATGAATGTTGCTTTAAAACTAAAAGAGCATCATTTATAATTTGAGAAACAACAATACAAAACCACAAACTGCATTGGAGTGAAAATAAGGCGTGAAATTCAAAGAGAGTATCTGTTTATAACTGATTAAACTAGCTTAACGCTTTGGTGTTGAAGCATATTCAATGAATGTTGCTTTAAAACTAAAAGAGCATCATTTATAATTTAAGAAACAATACAAAACCACAAACTGCATTGGAGTGAAAATAAGGCGTGAAATTCAAAGAGAGTTTCTGTTTATAACTGATCAAACTAGCTTAACGCTTTGGGGTTGTAGCATATTTAAATAGTAATTTAATGTTTATTCTTCATTCCTCAGTTATTCACATACTTACAGTGTGCTCTTTGCTCACTGTTTTAGAAGTTTACTCAAACAAGATTCTCTCATCTTAACTGTGATATCTTATCCTGAGTCATCTTGACAAATATCAGGAAGACCCAGATCTGCTGATCATAGTCTGAGGTCAGAGAAAAAAGGAAAAAAGTGCCCAGCATCTGAACTAATGTGACATTAACTCCCCCTAGTAGGTCTGCACCTGGAGAGAGAAAGCTGCCTCGACATCCAGGAACAAACACGGTGACACGTTTCTCAAGTCAGAGTAACTCGATACGTGGCACTGAGATGTCCTAACTTTGGAAAGATCTATTTAAATAAAGTTCTTATCGTTTGCCCCATCAGGAAAAAAGACTTTTGTATTTCATTAGATTTTACCACAACATGCAAGCAACTTAAAATAATTACAAGACATTATCTGATGCTTCAACTTACACTTTTTAAATCATCTTAATCAAAAATGTTATTATGCCTTTGTAAAAATTATACAATTGTATTAATATATACTGTAGAAATATTGACAAATTATTGTTAATCAACAGAATACTCAACCTAATGTCTTGTTTTTTTCAATGAAAATGTAACTTCTAGCATAAGTTTGTATTTGACACAGTCATTTAAGGGTTAATGTCCTCATTAGTTCATCTTTTCCAGTTAAAAACAACTAAAACAGCAGAAAACAGAAAACCAAAAAGAGCTCTTACCTTTGTGTTTACTGGTAGGAGGTGTCCCTGTTGACCTTCTTTTAGCACTGGAAGTCCATTTGATTACTCATCTCATAAATAGCAGCCGGCAACTCAGGAGGAGTGTGAACTGGATATACTGGTCCAACCTGCAGAGTTTTCCATCAAAAACCGGTTTTGTTTTTTTACTGGAACTAAAAAACAATGGTACACCCAAGAAAGACATCTGAAACATGACAGACACAAACTCTATCTGCTTTAATAAAACATATAATCTGGCCTCTGAAGTGCTGTTTGGAAATTATTCAGGTTGAAACTGCCCCTCGGAGAAAATGTGAGTGTGTGGTTGTTTGTCTCTGTGTGACCCATCAGAATTGAACAGTGTCAAAGATAATGCTATCACATCTTTTGTAATAACAGCAGTTATCAGGCCTGCAAAAAATCTGACCGTTCAATCTGACCGCTCAGCTGAATAACTGAACGGGGGGAAGCCATGCAAAGGGTTAGGCCTCAATTCAAAACATTATCCCTCTGGGCTCCAATAGAAAATGTGAATTATTGAATAAAGGGACCTCTCCCGTTGTGTGATTTTGCAGGGACCTCTTATCAACACACAACCTCAGACTACAGACCACAACAAAGGCTGTAGGTGTCCAGTGAAAGCCCCCCAAAAAGACGATAGGTTCACATTTTAGGAAATATATGGAAAAATATGAGACATTTACAGAGTAGTCCAGATTTTCAGCCAGGACTAAAATAGAAAAACCATTCTCAGAGTAGAAGGAATCCAAAAGCTTGATGACGTGTGAAAGATTAGTTTATTCAACAGAAACTGCCCAACCCTCCACTCCTGTTTTGCATTGATGCAACAATGATTGCCTTATTTCCGACGCCTCAAACAATTCTGAGCATTCTCACCAGCCAGTCACCTAAAAGTAGATTATCTTCACTGATTATTGTAAGGAAAAGTGCTTTAAAGAGACTGGTTCCAGATGAATGTGCTTGATGAGGGGCATTTCTAAGTCTGGATGTGTTAGCAGGAAAAGTCAGTGCTGTTTAACACAGGCTTTTGGGTCTGATTACGGATGGTAATAAACTATTTAGATTGAGTATTTTGTGTATTTGTGGTGTGAAATGGGTGATCCAATTAACCCTTTAAAGCCCGATCCAAGAATAAAATAAAACAGAAACTTACTTTTTTTTGTTTTAAGTCTATATTTGGCCTTTTAACAAAATATGTAAAAAGAAAAAACAGAAATACATTTTTAACATTAATAATTTATTACTATGCGATAAGACAAGATTATTTTTTGTGTAGTCTTCTGCCCCCTGTTATCAGGTGTATCTGATTGTGTACAATAGGATTTTGAGCAAAGTTTTTACTATTAAATTATGCAAAAGGTGTCAAGACGCAAAACATTTCAGAAACCGTATGAATCAAATATGATACGTTTAGCATTACAGGGTTAAATAGTTAATTAAAAAGCCGTTCTTATCAGGGATCTGGGGTGTTTTTGTGTGGTTACTCTCATTGTCCAGGTTTCTCCCTGAGGGTGTGGTGGGACCAGTACCTGGAGGGTGGGCCTACACGCCCGGAAGTAATCCGGAATTACCGGAACATTCCTGCATCTGAACTGGTCCCCATACAGCAGCCGTGTCCTCCCGGATCTCCCATCCAGAGCACTCCCCCCGGATCCTCCTCCCACCTGTGGACTTCACCAGTAACCTGAGAAGAACTATTTTTACCTCTGCAAGTTCCTCCATTAAAGCCCTTGTTCACGTCCCTCTCTCTGATTACCTGGATCAACAGCCATTATCCATTGTTGTTTCAATAAACCTTTATATTTTCCTTCCTTCTTTCCACAGTTCTAGTTCTGGCTACTGAGGTTAAGTGGTATCGGATAATAATAAAGGTTTATTGTACATTTTTCTTTGTAAAACTAGGCAATCCCGAGTAAGTTAGTGTTAGTGTTTACTGTTGTGTACCGATATATTGTCAGTCCGTTTTGCATTATTTTAAAACTGGAAAATTCCCTGAAATTTTACAGCAACATATACTGCGTTCTGGATTACAGGTTTTCCATAGATTTCCATTCTCTTCTCAGCAAGAAAAATTTCAAACTAAATTAAACTAAACACTCAACACTTTACTGTTGAGGACAGTACTGTCCACATCCTGGACAGCGATAATGGATTATTTTAGACAGTGGTCAAAGAAGCCATCTACGTCAAACTGGAAAAAACTATTTTGAACAGGTAGCACCTTCCAAGAACCTTCAAGTATCAGAATTTAGCAGCTATCCACACCTTAATGAGGGGGCAGAGTGGGTTTCAGTGGAACATGTGCCTCCAACAACCCTCTTTTCTCATTATCTGATCGTACCCGGCATGCAGGTTTAAACGGAAGCCTAAACCTTTCAAGCTAAAATGGGTTCGAGTCCAATAAGAGGTCCGTTTGGCTTTACTCAAGCTCTTGAGTGGTGGACCAGGTACCAAGTTTCCAAGAAGTACCAAGGAACTTTGTCAAATGATTACTTGAATAAAGCACTGGAGTGTTTGCTTTAAAAGAAATACTCAATGCTCTACTCAAAGCACTTAAATATTTTCATATTCTCGACAAAAAGTTTTTAGTTTGTTTTAGTTGAAAGCAGTCCAGATCAAAATTTCCTGATACATTGGACAGGAAAATAACTCCACATGTATGAAAATCATACCTGTAATAAAAAAGCATTAGCCTTATAAAGGACTTTTCCAGACACTTATAGATGCTTTTTGATTTAATGATTTTTTTTCACTCCTTTGTCACATTTGGTGTAGAAGCATCATTCTGAAACTACAAAGCCCCCCCAGACCACCACAGTCACACTATCCCAGTCCTACATAGGCAGGTTGGATTACATTATATATTATATACGTCTTGCCCAGGAACACAGAGACAGCATGCAGTGGGGCTGAGAGTCGAACTAGCAACCCTCCGGATACAGGGCTAATGGCTAAGCACGAGAGGTGGCTCAGTCTAAATAAATGAAATACAATAAGATACATGGATTTTCTCTAGAAGCCAAAGGAAAGCTGGAAGTGGAAATACTGATTGCAGTTCAGCCCAGAACTTGAGACCAAACTAAAACGAAGTCTAACCCGGGCCCACGTCGGTGTCACTGACCTCCTGAGTGAGCCCAAGACCTGTCCAGCCACATTCAGAGGGCAACAATAACTGGACTTCCTTTTGTCCAAGCAACTCGTTTAACGCCGCCTGTCACAAACCTGCTCTAAAGGGGATTAGTCAGCTTTTCATATACTGTTAGTGGGACAAAATAAACGCAAACTACTTTAACATGAGCAACAGAAGCAACAAGAAGCGGAAATCTCCAAAGGTATTTAGTGGAGTAAAAAGTATATCAGTACAATTGCTACATTACTAATACAGGGTAATGTTTTCCAGAAAAAACAATTATTTAAGTAAGGTATAAATTCTCAAAAACTCTGATTAAAGTACAGTTTTCAAGTAAGTTTACTCTGTTACTGTCCACCTCCAACCCCCCCACAACCCTTTGAGGAATAAGCCGTATTGAAAATGGATGGATGGAGGACATACCAGGAAATCTTTGATAGTGAAATATCTAAACTATTTCTGCCCACTTTTTGCTTTTGGTATATAAGTGGATGTAATGTTTTCAGAATTTGAGTTACAAGATGAATGCAAATAGAAAGAAATCAACTCTTAGGTAGCTGAGTTTTAAAGCTATTAATGCATACTTATAAAAATATTGAACAATTATTGAGACAATCTTTCACTGAAGTAATTTACGGTGAACCCAGGTTAGAAAAATTCTAAAGTTTTTCTTTAAAATATAAGCAGTAATATTTTGTTACATATTTGAAATAAACGTGGTTGATGTGCTCTATCTTGTATCTTTAGCCTCTCATTCCTGCATAGTGTGTGCTAAATTACCACCTGACCACTGGACAGTGATTTCTGATTTTAAAATTAATTGAAGCTGATTCCAAAACTTGGTCAACTTTTCAAAATCTACAGTTGTCAACAAGGGTTGAAAAATCAGACAAAGGGGAAAAGTGGCATTTTTGATGACCCCATGCAGCACCTTGGTATGTTTAAAGGATACAATTTCATAATGTGTTTGTGCTATTACCATCAGGATGCGTTTCCCAGCCAACATTGCAATCGGTTGAGTCAGATTGGTAACGTTTCTCTTTTGGCAGACAAATCTACACAGTGAATCAAATGTGTCTGTGCTGTGAAAAGGGTGCAATGCCTCCCCCTGCTGAGGGATTAAAGAGCACAGGCTGTTTCAGCAGCAGCCATTTTAAAACCGACGGTGACCTCATAACATCCGCGGCTTCCTCATCAGGATCAGTGCTGGGATGCCATTGGGTAAAACTGTCTTTTTAAACACTACTATATCCAGTGGTGAAATAACAGTATACACAAAGGATTCTAAATAATCTTGTTTAGATAAACAAGTCAGGAAATCATAAAAAATCTATATATTTTACCTAAACTCTTGTACAATTACTTATTGCTAAATTCTAAAAACATGATCTTTGTGATGTACAGTTCTGATAGGTCAGCAGAATGGGTGAATGTGTACAGCAGGATGTGGGAAAAGTGTGTTTAAGGGTAGAAATGACCTGTGCTACCAGTCCAAATGGAGAATCAGAACAGCCAGCAGTCCAGCCTGTCCACAGGGGGGGGGGGGGAGGAAGACACCTCTCACTTTAAAGACCGGTCACCGTCACTCCTGTTCAGGTGGAAAACCAAATACAAAACATGCCAAAATTTGCTTGAAGGAGCCCAGAAGCAGCATCTCTTCCTTCTGAACAGCAGAAATGCGACAAGACATGAGGAAAGGCTTCAGATGAGACTAATACTAATATTCTGATCCACCCCCTCCTTCCCATGTACATGTAGAATAAGTGCATATAGTTACTGTACACAGAACTTTGAAAGGTTTTTATGTTGAATAAAAACTTTAAAGACTAAACACTTTCAGGAAGAAAGGAAAATTTAAATCCCTTAACACTTAAAAGGTAAAGATTGACACTGATAAAAGCAGCTAAACACCATTTGCTCCCCCACTCATCCACGTCTCTCCCTCAGATCCTTTCTGACTATCATAAAAATAAAATAAACTCACTAATGGCGCTACGGGACGCGAGAAGCTGCCACTCCGCTTTTTAAACCCGTTAGAATGACATCTATACACAAAATGGCCAAAAAACTACACTAACTCAAACACGCCGTTCTGGGCAACATACTCAAATGTGTACATCAACGGAACATGAAAACAGACGAGAATAAATCAATGTTCTTAAACCCAATAAACCCCCTCGCAACAGACAATGCCGAGCACTCAGATGCTTTGTAAAATTTTGTACCTTAGACCATTAGACCATTATTTTAGGTGTTTAATTTACTTTTACATTCAGACAAAAAGAAAAAAAGCAAACATTTAGGAAGTTTACTACCCCAATTTAACCCCAAAACATAAGAGAAGTTACTGAAAACCTTTTTATTTGTCAAAAAAAAGCTCCTTTACAGTGCCACAGTTTTCAACCTGTAAAGCCAGCACACATGTAAAATACAACCCTTACAATACATTAGAATCAAAACAGGTACCAAAAAGTACAGTAAAAATTACACTTCCGGTGGAAATGAGGGGAAACAAAAAGGAAAGGGAAAATAAAACCTAAAAACCATAGGATTTTATAAAAGAAAAAGAAAATTGGGGGAAATGAAAAAAAAAAAAAAAACAGGGGAAAAAAAAGAAGTTATATTTCAGATGTTTTCTGTACAAATGGTTGTCTGTCATAAAAGAGGTCGAAGTGAGGCCCAGTTTGTCCGGCCAGCCATCGGTCTCACTCCATCACAAAGTCCTGCAAAGCAAAAACACATCCGTCAGAACGGCACCACACGGTGACGGACATTCTTATGTGGAAAATTATTTCCGACGTGCACTCGAGATGAGAACCCGTCATAGCTGGTGCGTTTCACACTAGGACCCTTTACCCTGGTGTGGCTCCTGACACTTAGTCAGGTGTCATGTTTCTAAATGTCAGTTCATACTGCCTGACCCCAACCCAGCTGCACAGTCTGTGCTTGTGAATATTTGCTGCTTCTGTACCCCTGAAAAAATTAACTGAAACCGTCATATAAAGACAGCAGAGTTGTGAGAACGAGATCGGACTGTGATGAATCAACACTGGCTGAAAACTAAACGGATCCCTGATGCTGTGCCCCGTGAGGCCTCCATCTCTAGTGTTGATTACCTCATACTGCTGGGTGATGGTCAGTATGGCTTGTAGCTGGTCTGGTGTGCCCCCCGCCTCGGGGTTTTCCCATAGCTGGCACTGCCCTGGTCTGTGGTGAAGACAGACAGAAGCGTACTTTACTTTCAGATACTTTGGTATTCAATGTACCCAGTTTTAAAAACAAAGTTTTAAAACTTTGGAGGAAAAACAGGCAAAAGAGTCATTTCACAAACACCAAACAGAAGTTAAAGCTCGATCCTCTACATCTTTAAATGCAAGTGTTTAAAATAAATGCTTCTGAAATCAATGCCACATTCAAGTGGACAAAATGTCATCCAATTAAGCAAATAAAATATACTATGGCATTTTTGGGTTTTTGATTTTTTTTTTTTTAAATCTTGGGATTAGCAGGTGCAATTGGGTAAAAGACACTTTGATTTGCATCTATAATTATACATATCTATACATCCATTTATCTCTTACCCAACACCAAAACACACACACACGGTCCAGGTCTTTACTTACTGTAATCATATCCAGGGCCATATCCATAGTAACCAGAAGAGTAGTCGTAGTTGCCATAGCCACTGTAGCCGCCATAGCCATAACCCTGGTTACCATAACCCTGGTTCCAGTAGTTTCCATAGCCCTGGTTCCAGCCTTGGTTCTGACCTGAAACAAGGCGCAGTTTAAATTGGATGGCCATCATTTCAGTATGTATAACCAGCTGAGTTAAACACGATTTATGCAAATAAGTTCCTAATCAAAATTCATTTTCTCCCCTTTTATGGATGCAGAATGGATTCATTCTAAAGCATCTCTTAAAACAACTATTGTCGTGACTGTTCTCATTAAACTAGTGGACTTTTTTGTTTCTGGACTGTTAACGTGGCACGTTTGAAAAAACGAACGATTCTCAGAAATCTTAAGATTTCTTTAACCTCCACGACCTCTTCCACCCCTGCCTCCATAGCCACCTCCACGTCCTGCTCCATACTGCTGCTGCTGGTACACCTCTTTGGGCTGTGCGATCTTCAGCTCACACTGAGGAGGACAAGACAATGGAAATCAAAACAGAGCACGGTGGGTTTATACATGTGTGGGCCAAGAGGAGACAGGATGAATCAACACGAGCGTATCTACACACCCTGCCTCCCTGGATAGTGTGGTACTTCTTCTCCAGACACTTTTTGACACTGGCTTCATCTTTATACGTGATGAAAATGAAACCTCTCCTTTTCTTTGATTTGGGGTCGATGGGAAGCTCAATTGTTTCAATCTGGTAGAAAGGAAAAAAAAAAAAGTGTTCAACAACAGAAAAGCCATCAGATCTTACAGGGGGCCCCATAATGACATGAGATGATTACAGCTGCATTCTAACAGCTCTTTTATGACCTCAATGTTTGTTTGTTTTTAAAAACAATTTTGGTTGGAACTTGCCTCTCCAAAGGCTCCGAAATATTCCCTGATTGCTTCCTCGGTTGCCTCAGGATTCAAACCCCCAACAAAGATCTTCTTGACGGGCTCCTTTTTCATGGCCATCGCTCTCTTGGGGTCGATCTGACGTCCATCGAGCCTGTGCTCCTTCTGCTCCAGGACCTGCGGGGGAAAACACGTTTAGCAACATGATGCTAGCTAGCTGCTGTGTCTTATGTGTGCCTAACAGATGAATGTGTGACTCTGGTGTAGAGAGGGCTCACTTTGTCCACGCTGGAGGCGTCTTTGAAGAGGACGAAGCCGAAGCCGCGGGACCGGCCGGTGTTGGAGTCCATCTTGATGGTGCAGTCGGACACCTCGCCAAACTTGCTGAAGTAATCCTTCAGGTCCTTTTTACTTGTGTCCCAACTGAGACCACCAACAAACATTTTCCTACCAAAAGAGGATACGTTTATTTGAAAATCAAAGCGAAATGGATAAGAGACTATGTTCTCTGTAAATAAAAAAGTACCAAATAAATCAATTAAATCTAACACACACACAAACAAACAGGTGGTATCCTTCCCTAAACAAAAACAACTAGGATTGGGCATTTACAGGATACAAAGAGAAAAATAAAGGACTTTCACACTATACATTTCAACTAACCCAGCATCTTCCTCTCCTTTGCTGGCATCAATCTTCCCTCCATCAGTGTCATTGTCGTTGTCCTCGTTGTCTTGGCTCTCGTCTCCACCCATTAGCTCCTGTTCACTGCCATTCTGGTCCTCCTCTCCCTCATTGCCGTTCTGTTCTGAGGTCTCCATGAGTTGATTCTCGGTGTCTGCCATTCTGACGGCGTCTCTTTAAGAGACTGAGATGATAAAGAGATAAACGTTGAATAATCCTGGGGAAAAGTAGAAAAGAAAGAAGCATTAAGGATGATGTTTTTTATTTTTAACTGGCATGAATCATTCAATTTAGTCACCCAATAACAAAATATAACTCATAAAGGAGTCAAATATCTGATTGAATCCTGGTGAAACAGTTTTATGGGGATACGGTTGGAATAAATATTTGCTTTTGTTTACGCTTTAAAAATGTTAAGTTTAAATTACCAATAGAAAATTGCATTAGAATCAAAATCCACTACTCTTATTTGATTAGGGAACAGTATACAGCTAAATAATTGTTTGACTCACTTAAATTCACCAAATTAACTAAAAAGCAAGCCATTACCGCCTTTCAATGCAAGCTTGATGAGGGGTAGATAAATACTTAATTTAAAAAGGTTTTTAAAAAGTATGCGTGAATATTTAAATCACAATCCACACGTGAAATACGACGACTTTGCAGCATTTTAGGAGCATTCATGATGAGTTTATAGGGCTACCGAGGGCTTCTCGATAATCGGAGGCCTTCAGCAGATTAGAGCTGCTAATATATTCACACCACCGCTCAAATATTCACTCACATCAATTACAGAAAAAAAAACACAAAAAACACCTTAATATTCACATAACTGAACGTTATCAAGACCCAATAATACCATTTGCCATGTAAAAAAACCGTCAATGCAAAGTTCAGATCAAAGACCTACTCTTCGTTCAACCACTTTGTTTCCATACCATTGTTAAAGAACAAAATGTACCGTTTGCTTCCACAAAATATCCTACGAACATAAATACGCAACTACCTTTACCAGGAATGATGCAACTTATGCAGATGCTGCTTTGGAATACCGTTTTATGCTAGGGAGTTCATTATTCTAAAGAAGCTAGGAGCTAACAAAGATAAACCGGCGTGCAGCTCCATGTTAAGTGTTCAAGCAAACCGCGCTTTACTCCGAAGGGGCTCCGCCAGAGAGCAGGCCACACCAGCAGCCACACACAATAAAACAAACCTAGCAAACCAAAAAGGAGAAGAATTACACCGTCAACAACCATTGCCGTTATTACAGCGACTCTAATATTAGTAATTAGTTAATATGGGAAGGAGAATATCAACCAGCGTAACAACCTCGTTGACGTACATTAGCTCGTTCGAAGCTAACGGGCTACGTTGGCTGCACGTACGAACACACCACACGCATAAAAGCAAACGAGCGAGCAAAAAGCAAAGAGAAAATAGTATCTATGAAAAATTAGGGATCCTCATATGTTTACGTCGACGCACCAGTTACAATAATACAATGTGCTTACTTAAACTGAATACACCGGGGCGCCGAATCGCTGCTCAAAATGGACACTCCAAATTCGCCGCTTACTCGTGGCATAATATATACGACCGGATGTGCCCATGCGCTGAAAGACATACTAAAGAAAACGTCTCTCATTGGAGGAGGGGTGTGCTTTAAAAATGTAATCTATCCCTTATTGGCTGATTGCGCATAAACTGTGACAAAGGACTTATTCAATAGCCATATGTTGTTCCCTCTTGACTGCTCAGTACAAACAACAATAATATGGAATTATTTTCAAAGACGGGCAACTGTTGATGTTCCCTGAAAAGGACTTATCTGTTTAATGAATCTATTTTGCTAGGAATACGAAAAAAATTCCGGAGTGCTTTTGTAAGTAGACATTAAGTAGAAAAGGCTGCTACTCGCATATTCAATTTTTTAACAGTTTCTTAGAATTTGACTTAATGATGTTTCTATTAGCTCTATTGGGACTTAGCGGTATAGACTATTTATATTTGCAACTGTAAAAAAAAAGAATATGAATACTAATTTTTCAGGTAAGAAATCATAGGGGCTGACGTGAATTGAGCTACCTGCGCTGTGTTTAATGTATAATTTTTATCTTTTTAAGACATATTTCAGATATTTAATACCAAAGTTATGTTATAAAAGCAGAATTTCTATTGAATAATTAAGCATTTTTATCTCTTTATGACTATTCTCAAAAGTTTGACATTTTTGTTAATAAATATTTTTAATCCCAGCCTTTTGACGTTTAATCTCATTATGATTTGTATCTTGTAATCATAACAGTGTTTCACAATTATGACATTGAATTTTTTCAATATGAGTCACTTCATGAAAACCCTAATTTACAAGTGTTGGAAGTGTTTTCATAAAACAAACTAAAAATACTGTATAATCTGTTAAATCAAGATACCTTGCCAATCGTTTTATCGTTGAATTGCTTGAAAACTGACATTTTGGTAGCTATCAACATTTTTTCATACGTTTCATTGGAGCTTTGCCCGTTCACTTGCACCTTAAATTGTGGGTCTTCCCGCTCATACTCTGTTCAAATACAGAACTCCAGACATTCATCTACCTGCATTTTCACACCATTAGGTGCTTGACTACTTTGGAGTCATCCTTTTCTCAACATGTATACAGTACAGGCTTCTCTAATGCTCTCAGTGCATCGATTTGTGATGTAATGCTGTCTTCAATACCTACAATGTCCAACCATTAATACGACCGTACAAGCCACTTGGTGTGTCATTTAGCAAATCTTTTCCATCACATTTTGAGGTACACATTCAGTAACTCAAAACTGGTGATCATTTCTCATAGTGGTTCTGATACTCATTAGCTCTCAGCTTGCCTCCTTTTGCTTTATGTAAAATTTACAGGAAAGAAATTGTTGAAACAAAACCTTTGCTTTTATATGTGGTATAAAAAAAAGAGAAAAAAAAACTACCAATACTAACACTATCTATAACTACTTTTTGCTTTAATATCAAGATGCACCATGATTTGCAATGAACTGCATGGATATCAAAATAAAAATACCCCAAATGTTTTACACCATGTTAAAAAGAACACTTAACGACTGAACCAGTGTCACCAATATGGATATGTTTATTTCTTCTCAATGGCAATTCATCCTTACTTTATTCACACTTGGTTTTATTTTAGTTAGTTAAAAAACAATTAGAAAAAAAAAAACGATAAAACATACGTGTACATTTAAAACATGCTTAAACAGCATAGCTTCAAACCATTGTCACCGAGCATAGAAACTTATCGTTTAGATATGCACTCTTTCCTCAAACTGCAGTCTATTTTTGCCTCACGTCTCCATTCGTAGCAGCTAACATTCTGATTCAAGACGTCCTATTTTAAGATCGGGATTTGCTGACCCAGTGGTACTTGTCGACACGAGGCCCAGTGAAGGTGAATGTGGCTCGGTAGGATTTGAACCCATTTTGGTTGGAGAAGTGGGAAGGGGGACCTCCATTAGAAGCATGGAGCTGGAAAGTATCCCCAGCGTAGCCCTTCCTCTTCTCCCTCAGCCAGGTCTGAGGGGCTCCTGGAGAAAACTCGCTGAACTATTGACAGAAGCATAATGTTATTTTCTCATTTAAATATGATATTATGGGGTTGACTGGGTAAATTAGGTCAACCATGTAATAAAAAACAAAGCAAAAACAGTTAATGAAAACTATAGTTACACATCACTGAAAAAAAAAAAATGCTTGAGTTTAATTTGTTTGGGGGGAAAAAAAAAAAAACACTTTCTGCTAAAAAATGGCAAAACAAAAAAATAGAACCATATCTTTTCTCCTGCGCACCAGATAGTTTCAGAAGTTGTTCCGAGTAGTAACATTAGGCCAAAAATACTGAGGAATATAACAAATCATATCATGAATGAACTAAACTTTCCTTCCATAAAACGTTAGGCAAAATTAGGTGTATTTTGCATTTTAAAGACATTTGAGATATCTTCTTAGAACTTGGGCACACAAGTTTTAGTTTCATTTAGTTTTATGTCCCTTCAAGCACTCCATAAAACCCATATGAACCTCTACCCTATAGAAATGTAATTTTACACTGCAGGTTTCTTCTGTTAATGTGCTCTACGTACCCGGTAAACGCTGTTGGGGTTGCTGACGGTGGGGATGGTTTTAGGCTCCACGCTGGAGGGAGGGAGTGAGGCTGAGCACTGGACGGACAGGCCGCTGCTGCTGGAGCTGCTCACGCTCCTGTCTGCGTCCTCCTCATCAGAGGAGCTCCCCGGCTGGACGTCCAGCGTGGCCCGCTCCACCGCGTCGTGGATGCGGCGGGAAAAGTCCCGGTCTCCTCGCCGGTAGCTGTCCACCGCAGAGACGCAGATTGGAGCGCTTTGCTCACCATACCTTCTGGGCCAGAAACGGATCAAACACAAAAACAGGAAAGGAGTCAGAGTACGTTTATCAGCTCTATGAGGATAGATCATCATCATTTAGGAGGTTTTGACACTTAAGACTGACCCACAGCTAATGTCAGTCCTAAATGGATCCATTCTGTAATACTTCTAATAGTACTCCCAAAGGTTTAAATATCCAATAATTCTTGAAAAAATATATATTCTTCAGTTTATGTTGTAGCCAACTGATTTGAAAGTTAAAAATTGTTCTTACAAAATACAAATTTTGACTTAAAGTTCACTTTTCCTCAATACATCTGTTAAACGGTAACTGCTGTAGACCTGTTGCATTCCTCGATTGGGACCATGAAGTTTCTTCTCACCAAAATGTTTGTCCTAATATATCCATAATAAAACTTTTAGACAGATACTGTTCAATTCAAGCCCTTTCATTCCCAACTGATTGTAATTCAAGCATAATATCTAATTAAATTCCAAATGGGTCTCAGTCTGGAACCATTTCAAAAGAAAGGAAATAAGATGCCTAGCTATGGAATCCATCATATCGCATCATGTCAGTCCCATACCCCATCCTGAATATGCATGATCTGACTGAGAAAAAAATCAAGAAAATATGAATGGAGATCAGCCATCTTCCCTGATTCGATGGAGTTTTAGGGGACAAAAATTAGGCAATACATATAAACACACAGCATACAGACTAGCAGCCCAGGGGTATCTGCTGAGAAACAAACAATTGAAAAAAAACAAACAAAAAAATCATTCACAGAAAAATAAAAAGGTATATTTTGGGAGTCCCTCCAGAAATCTCTCCATCAAACAAACCTGCAGGATATTTCTCCAGGGTCCACCCACACCGTCAGCTCCTGTGGAAAGCCCAGATCTCCGTAGCGCACGGCGCTGCGCTCACAGGCGTGCTGCAGCACCGGGTCCTGGAGCTGAACGCCGTTCATCCGTAGACATCTGAATCATGCCATCAGTACAACAAAGTCCACAAGACAGCGTCAGACGCTAATGTTGCATCACAGGAGTCAAACTTCTACCTCTAGAAACTCTTAAATGAAGACATTTAAGAGTACAAGACATTACTCGGTGGTCATTTTGTCAATTGACTCCATGTCAAAGTCTGATAATCTGACTTAGTTAAAAGCTTAATGAATTTCCTAATTGCCAACTATGGATTTTTCCCTCTTTGTATCAGACCTGCTGCCCATCTTCATGTTTTAAGTTCAGTTAATTCTCATTTATCTGTTGTAAAACAAACCTTGATAATCTGTTTAATTTGAAGACTAACCCCAAGATGTAGAAAACCTCTATGCAAAGGAACATTTAACCATTTCTCTTCACAGGATCCTGTTCTCTAAAATGGATTACTGACCTGTAGGCCTGTCCTTTAGTGGGTGCACTTGGATGCCAGTGGTTCTTATACTTCTCAAACAGGACAGAGGTCAGGGCGGCAGCAAAGCGCTCCCTGCTGTCATTATCCAGGCAGCCGTATCTCTTCACCAGCCGAGCCATAAAGAACACCGCGGCTGCGATTTCCTCTTTCATAGCTACACAGTCTAACCGACCACTTCAACCTCAGATCCCGCACTGCTAAAAAAAACTATTCAGAGAATAAAACACATGTAGGCAGATCCTACTCTCAAGAGGAACACATGGACAAACGGATAAGCAGACAACCCAACCAGACACACTGGACCTCCACTCTTGAGCCCTTCACATAATAAGCATCTGCAGGTGTTTAAACTTGAACATGAAGCTGCAGCTCAACGTTCACTTCAAGCACCTCACTCACGCCAAACACTGGAACTGATCCCTGCCTCCGCCCGTGAGCTGATAAGTTCCCGGTCCAGCTGGGGGAGAAGCTGGCACACCTGAAGGTGATGCGCTTAATGACCCACAACCAGCACAGCCAGGCTTCCTCTGCATCCTCCAGGCTCTAAAATGTCACCAATGTGGAAACGATAGTTACTCACCCTCTCTCACAGAGCCAGAAAAGTCAGAATTACAGTTGATATTCATAAAATTGATATTTAATACAAATATTCAGTAGTTGATCTTTGATCTAGATGGATGTGTTCATATTTTGTCAGTGTAATTAGTCTTATTTTGGACATGAAAATAGGAATCAAATCGGTGTATTACAATTAAGTGTTCTGATTTCTTCCCAAAGTCCAGGTATGCATGTCCTGTAGATTGCTAATTTTTTTTGACACATGATATGTGTGATATGTAATACAAATATTCAGTAGTTGATCTTTGATCTAGATGGACTTTTGCATCTTTTGTCAGTGCAGTTGGTGTTATTTTGGACATGAAAATAGGAATCAAATTGGTGCATTACTATTAGTGTTCTGATTTCTTCCCAAAGTCCAGGTATGCACGTCATGTAGATTGCTATTTTTTTTTTTTTTTTACACATATTTATCTGTTTCTCTTTGATGGACTTCTAACCTTTAGAGGAGAAAAATATGTTTGGATGGAATTCAGTCAGGGAGTGGTACTGATCTTTTTGGGGGTTTGTTCCTACTCTGAGCTTTTATTTAGGCTGCATGTCAAACTTTATATATATATATATATATATATATATATATATATTTCTTTTTGTCTCAGATCTGATTTTCCCATGACGTGAACATTACAAGTCTTATGGAATTCAGGTTTTTCACCTTCAATATGGGCTACGTTTTCTGTCCTATCATTAAAAAAAAAAAAAGTATGACTCAATTTCATCGGTAGTTCAGGAGGCAGAAGAAATTAAGGGGTTTGCTGAGTCTGCTGGTGTGTCTTTTACTGTCTCCACCCCCTGCACCCTCTAATCCCTCATACCCCCTACACGAACCAGAGTTTGATTCCCTTCCTCCTTTTATCTTTATTTCTTGTATTTCTACTACCTGATCCATAGACATATCATCCCAGTTTGTAAGCTTCCCATCTGTAGAGGCCGTCCCCACCGGGTGGCGTACGAGGATAATGGAGTGTGGAAGAGGCAGAGAAGAGGAGGAAAAGTGGTGGAGGGAGGCAGAGGCTTGATGCTGCAGTAAAGGTTGTGGTGCTGCTGAGCATATTAGAGATTTAAGCTGTTAAAAGTGTTAAAAGTTCTTCCTACTCATGTTTCTACTTTGTATTGGCTTTTAAACATGGCGGAATGGTTTTTATATGCTTAGGATTTCTTCTCCAAAAGTTGAGCAATAAAAGACAAAAATTACAAGTAAACTGAACATAAAATAATAAAAACATTTCTTTCATAATGGATGAATCATAAGATGTAAAACCAAAGACGTGAAGACTAACGATAAACAAACAAAACAAAAACATCTACCTTTCCATAAATCCATTCTGCTTCTTTTTTTCCTTCCAAGCCCTCCAACAGGCTTTCTTTCTCAAGTTTTCCACATTTCAGGAAATGTTAGGACAGCATTGGCCGAGCACCAGAAAGCTCTCTCTTTATCGGGTTTGCCTGTTTAATTCACAGAAGAGGGGCATGACATCACCTGAGTCTCGACGTTCAGCCAATCGTATGCCTCAAATATGCCGGGCTCGGGAAAAGCCAAGTTCTCGAATGAGGTGATAAAGCAAAGAACTCAAAGAAACTTCTTCTCCAAACATTTGGTCAGTGTTCTTTAAACACCACTGTAGGCAGAAATAAAGAAAATACATTTCTGTGACATGAAAGTGTCAGATTCATTTATATAAAACAAAGAAATGAAAACTGATCTTGAGTTGATTCTGTTAGTATTCTTTACATTTGCCAAGTATTTCTATAAAGAACGTACATGAACTGAACTACATTCTTCGTTCTGTGTTGAACGATATACACTGCAAAAAAAATAGAGGGAACATTAAAATAACACATCCCAGATCCAATTGAAATAAATTTTTCTCATTAAATACTTTAATGAGAATATGGTTGAATGTGCTGATGACAAAAATCACCAAAAAATGATCAATAGAAATCAAATTTAGTAACCCATGGAGGTCTGGATTTGGAGTCACATTTAAAATTAAAGGGACAAAGCAGCTCCTTATGTTGTATCTACACACTACTACTGACCTGTAGATGAGCCTGTGGCTAAAATATTCAATCAAAATTGCACTGAGAATGTCAAAACGAAGCTTTAGATGTGAATGGAAACCTTAAATGTCTTTTAGGGAGACATAAAAGACATTTGCTAAAGCTCTGGCAGTGAGGCTGAAAATGTGTCTAAAGACAGCAGGTCTTTTTTTCGGGGGGGGGTTCACGAGTGGGACGTGGGAGGTCTGGTCTTCTCAAAGTCTATGAGGGAATAAAAGTGTCACTTTAATTTACAACAATGAGAAAGGAGCCAGCTTTGGGGTCCAAGTGAAAGCCTTCTTTTGTCTTTTTTTTTTCTTTTTTGCTGTTTCCTTGGTGTGGGGACTTCACATTTGTGATATTTGCACAACGTTTGATACATTTTTGTGGGTTACTTTCGAAATCTGAGCAGTTTTCACCCTTTCATAAAGTTCTCTTGCTGTGTATCCACTGCAAATTTAGGTTGACTTCTTTTAAATTCACATATAAAATACTTGAAAACATTAATTAGAGGAGAAAATCACACGAGTACAAAAATGATAAAATAAACGTTAAGAATGACTCTTTGTATCTTAAGTCTTTGTTTGGCTCCAACAAATTTATTTTACGTGTTTTTGTGCAACATTTCATTCACATTTTACGATAAAATAAATGCTAAAAAAAAAGGAAACATTCTATACAAGTTTTAACAAAATGATGCATGACTTTCAGAAATGTATCACATTGCAATAAAAGGTTAACATTAATCCGTCTTGGTGGCTGGACTGTAACATTGGTATACTATCTAAGAATTTTAAAGGGAACTTGAGTGGGAGAGAAAGAAAATTGAATTTGATTGTTGTAATTTCATTCATTAAACCTCACTGAGAATCAAACAAATTGGTTTTAGCAAGTTTTTGAAGTGATAGAAGTTAACAGATGCTCATCTACTTCTAAATACTAAACAAATCCAGCAGTGAATAACCAGCAAATATGAGACAACCATCATTTAATTTGAGTCAGTATGAGACAAAAAAGATGCTATACAATTGATCACATCCTAGCTGGGAAACAGGAAAATTACAGCATACGGGATAGAATAACTGCAAGAAAATTCATAGAACGGTTTGTGAGCCCTATTACCTCCTCATGTTACATGAAAAAACATTCTTGTTCCAACCTATAAATGGTAACAGACAGAACCAGGAAGTAAGTTTGACCACCGGGGGATGGAAAAACCTTGTGTTCCATAAGTCCCAAAGAGGGATCAATAGGTACAAATAACTAAACACGATCCATAGACACACTATGGTATCACTTTTTTGTGGTTGAGCGTGCACTGTTTAGCGCTCCATGCTAAAAACATCCACAAAAACACCCAAATGTATGCAGTAACTTGAATTTCTCTTAAAAATGGAAAGTTTTTCTCCCCCTTTGCCAACATTGCACCTTTCCAGTACTGTCATTAAGCTAGTTTTTGGGATGGTACTTTGGGGGTTAGCACTTTTGGATCATAGCAGGGTTCTTGTGCTGAGGATCCCCGTGTAACTCTGAGTTGCCTGTGGGAGTGTGTGTGATTGCCTGTCTTGGCCGTATGTGTGGGACCTGTGTTTGACCGGGACGCTGTCCAGGGTGTGTCCTTCCTCTGGGATAGACTCCCCACCCCCGACCCTGCCAGGAATGAGTAGCACAGCAAATGGATGGATGGGTCATTTTTGCATCTAAACTAACAACACGAAAGACACAGAATAGGATTTTCTCAGCTGGTAAAACAACAAAAAAAGTAACCAAAATGCATCTCAGCAACATTTGGAAGAGAAAGTAGATGACTCATCTCTTCAGTAATGGACTTTAATGCATTGATGCCAATAAATAAATCCAAAACTCAGAAAGCAAATATCAAGCATCAAATATCCCCCTGCCAAGAAAGAAGTTTTCCAAGGTTCAATACACTCTTTAAAAATAACTTAAAACGGTCTCCCAACATCATAATCAGTTTTAAGAGTTTACGTATTTGATTGACAAAAACTATGTAGGTGTTTGGTTATATAAAAAGAAGATGGCACATCCACATGGGTGGATATTGCCACACATATATTCAGAGGCAGACCTTATTCACCACATCTCAAACCTCATGACCAGGCAACAGGACAGAGCAGAAACAGACAAAGAGAAAGAGCATTATTTCACACAGCAGTATCCATAAAGAACAGCAGGCCTCAATGCTGTTGAAACAGAAACGTAGGCAGATGTCATCTTCAGAACAATAAAGCAAAACAACGACAAAAATGCAAGAAAACTAAGACAACCAAAATGAAGTATTTGAAATAAGAAATGTCAAATATCAGTCAAATGAAAATTGTCCACATGTACGTGTAGGGGACAAAAAAAAACATTTTAATCTTTTCTTTCTTGGAAGTTAAATTAAAAAATAAATAAATAAGAGGGAAAAATATTTAAAAAAAATATCACATTCAGTCTGCTTTTTACATGTGGAGTCAAAGAATATCAGTAACATTTTTTTCAAGTGTCGCGACTTTTGAAACAAATTGCGGTTTGGCACAAAAGAGGAACACGACAAGACCAGTGGCGTTATACCCACACCCAGTTCACATCCTCCTCTGTGTGCAAATGAGCCTGTACAGACATTTACAGAGAGCCACAGATTCTCCTCCAGCGGCAGGTTCCGCTCACAACCTCCAGCTTCTGATTCCCACAACAGATAGAATAAATAATAGGAGAAACAAATAAATAAATAAAGAATAAAAAATGCAACAACTTCCAATCTTCCAAAAAGAACCCAAAAAAAAAAAACATGTGCAGATCTGTATCATTTTTTGACATTAAAGCCTTTGGTTCAGATAGTAAAATGGGGCTTTTAATATGATCAGTATGTATAATTCATCATCAAATATGCACCTAAAAAATCAATTTCCAATCATGGAAAATAATCCATAAAAATAAATTTGGATCAGTGGAATGCTCGTCTAACTCCCTCAAATTAAATGAACCTGTTTTGTGATCTAAAACATTATTTAGCCCCACTTGCAGCTTGTAACTGGTCTTCAGCTGTTATTGAGCTGGGTTTCACTTTTCCTAATAAACATTTAACCTGGCATTTTTTCTACGCTTCCATATTATTCTTAAACAGCAGACATAGTCCATGGTATCAAATGTGTATAATCATAATTGGTATTAAACTTAAATAGTCTTTTTCAAACTTTCACACATTCTGCTGCCTGAAGAGTGTCAACTGTGGTGGGGATTTTAAATGATAAAGCCTCCACACAGTTTAGAAAAAAAAAAGAAGAAAAACTGGGATTGTAAATGAAAACATGTGATATCGTTTGTATAGTTCCTTTTGATTTCGGGGGAGTGCGAGTGTACTGGTGCAAAACTCCAGACTGCTGCCGTGCTCACACGTCTCCGACACAGTCCAACTGACCAATGCAGTCCCGCTTCTGGCCCCGGTTAAAACGGGAGCTTCTTCAGCTGCTCGAAGGTGATGAAGAACTGCACGCTTCGTTAAGAAAAACACAGATTTAGGATTTACACCATATCAGAAAACAGAGAGGAGCTGCTCAAACCACTACAAACCAACATAGATGCATATTTTCATGTTTCTAGATCAATGTTTCACAGAATGCATGACTGTGTGTATAAATGCTGCCACTGAAATAGTAGAAAGTCATGAATAATTTAGTTACATTTACTGAAACACAAAAAATTAGGTGTGCTTTAACATAATAATACTATATGTATTACAAACTTAGCTATTCATGTAATAGTAGAAACTTAAATATAAATGTAATCTAAAATATACAGGACAGGCCACTTTTTTCTGACAGATCCGTCAGAAGTTAAGAAAAATACACAATCCTAATTTCCTTTTTCTTGAAGGATACAATGATGTTCCAAGGTCCAAGTCGCAGCCAGTTCGGCCAAAATCCCTTATATAGAGCAAAGAAGCCTTCATTTTTCCATGTCTTCATCAGTCCATCGAGTGTTCCTTTGTACATGGGGGTTCCAGACAGAACCCGCTGGTTCATCATGCGTGTTCGGACCACGTCCACAGGGTTGGACGCCAATGCCCCCGCCAATCCGCACGTAAAACTTGAACTGCACACACACCAAATGTGGTTAATACACAAAAGAAAAGGTTAGCCGCTATCTAAAGAGGAGATGAAGACACTTACATGAAGTGGGTCAAAATTGTGTCTCCCATAACACCCGAACGAAGGAGGTGCTTTTTTGTGATGTCGTAGACGGGGAGCTCCACCCCGACGACGATGGCTGCCCGCTGGGCTGTGGGTATCACACCCTGAGGAGCGGGTAAGAAGAGGACAAACATGTCTGACTGATGTCTAACCCAATGAGAAAAGTGGCGTTCACATGAAGCAAACATATATGACCTAACGTCAACTTAAAAAAAAAAAAAAAAGATCCGCTATTTTTAGGTTTTCTTATCTTTCTCCAGACCTTCTGTTGAGCCAAGTTAAGTAACAATGTGCTATAGATAAACAGCCTAAAGTTTTCTTTCCAAAGACCAAAAACATGCACCATGTCCACCCATCCATCCTCCTACCTGTTGGAAGGACACACCTCGGACAGGTGCAACGTCAAGAGAAATAGGACCAAAACAAAAAACATGTCTACACACATTCCCTACAGCAATAAATTTAGAATTATCAATTGACACATGTTTTTGGACTGAGGAAGGTAGAAGTAGCATCCAGTGAGAACCCACACATACATGGAGAGAGCATCCGAGCTCCACAGGGATCTGAAGTGAAAACCTACTATCTTTAGGTACAACTAACCCCAGTTCAGTGTTGGCATGCTTAGCTTATTGAATGACTGTCTAAAGCTGTCTTTTCCCACTGAGGGGCTGGTGACGTGGTTAAGACGTACCACTGTGGCAGCTATTCTAACCCCCAGTCCCTTGAATTTGAATGGGCATTGTGGACAGCCCTTGTTTCAATTTGGTTTCTGACAAACAACAGTCTTGTTTTTCTCCTCATCAGAAGGTAATAATGTTGTGGGGGGGCTGAAGGTGTTTAAAGGGTGCTTGAATGGCTCAGATTGAAATAATTTGACTGAGTAGAGGTGGGAACAGCCAGTCTTAAAATCATTTTACTTTTTTAATTTATCTGCGGACAATGCACTTAGGGAAGTAAAAAAAGGAAATATCACCATATTTCTATCTCTGGATTTGTATAGGATTTTCTTTCTCATCTTAGAAAACAAGAAAAGCCACTTGAGGTTTGTTATAAGAATCCTGTGAATCAGACAAAGACATTCCTGCACAGGTGATCCAGTCCAATCAGACACTCACTCTCCACAGCCCCTTAGTGCCCTCTGTCTGGTAGATGTTAATGAAGTTAGATATCATGCTTCCCTGGAGCAGGCTGCCTTGAGCCTGCATTCTGATCTGGAAGAACAGAAACATAGACAGAAAAAACAAGGTCCCTTTTAAAATAATCTTATTAAAAAGTCACTCATTGTAAAACCATTTGATTTATAGATTTGTCCTGAGCTGAATTAAGACACTCGCCTATTTCAATACTTAACCTCAACCAACTATGATTTAAATGAAAACACTTGTTATGTTATGTTATAAAGGTAAGGGTCAGTATTGCCCATATGGGTCCGATACTGCTGTTCAGCAGCTCTCACCGTCTGTTCTGCTGCTGCTTGTAAATATCGCTTTAGCATCTTCGATTCTGCTTTCACATCGGAAACAAAAACAAGATTTCTGACAAGGCCTTGACTTGACACATAACATTCACCTTGAGAACGTCGGTGGGATTTGCCAGAGAGGAGGAGAGCACTCCAGAGACGACACCGCAGAAGACATTGATGACCATCGTCTCATCTGACAAAAGAGAGACAACACACACATCATAAGCACACAACAACAAACAAAGTCTAAGATAAGCCAATCATTTAACATGCAAAGATGTAAAAGAAGCCTCTTTATTTTAAAGTTATTTGGTCAATTTTCTTTGTTTTTTTATAGTAAATCATTCAGTGCTTGGATTATTCATACAGTATTAACTGGAATTAAATATATCTATATTGTTATATATAATATATATTAATCAATTTTCATGATGACTGAAGAGCTGCTGAGGAGTCGGAGAGCTTTAAATGAACTTCGTGTGTAAAATACTAAAATACTATTGATTGACACAAATTAAAGTGTTAAAATGAGACACAATAAAAAATAATGACTATGATTCAAAGTAAGATTTTATTCAAGCTAAGCTGTAGCTTCACAATTATTTTGACCTTATTTTTTTAAATACCCCTAAACATATTACAAAAGTAACCAGATTAAGAGTTATAGAGCATCATGTATTCGTGTTAGTTTGCTCTGGTTTACAATAATCAAAATCCAATTGCTGCATGTCATATGATTTTACTGTATTTGAGTTAAACATATTAATGATTCATCTGCCAGCCTGCCAGAAATGGCATCCTCTCTCCTTACAGCATGATGACATCCTACCATCGGCTCTTTTGTCTTCAAAGATACTTCAGGTTATGCCAAATAACTACAGTAGATTTGAGGGGGTTCTGCCTTTATCAAGTACAGTTGCATTGAGGGCACAGATTCTGGCAGCCAGCATTTCTTAGCCTGCCAGAATTTGTGCCATCCTGTATGTTACATCCGCTGTTTTCTCTCATTGATACTTCAGGTCATTCCCGATTACGACACGAAATTTGAGCAAGCTTTGTCTTTATTTAGTGAAGCTGCACAGGGGACACAGACTCTGGCAGCCAGCATATCTCATCCTGCCAGAATTTGTTGAACTTCTGGCTGTTCTCCTCTGCCTACTCTACATCCCCAAAGACTTTTCACAGATCTACATTTATACCAGGGCAAATGCTGCCACAGCCAATGAGCACATCGATTTATTTAAGAACCAGCAGTGATAAGGTTAAATGGGACATTACACGCTCCATCATTTATCACATTTACCAAACTAACCAGAGTTATAATGGTTTTGAAACAAAGGTAAGAGTGACTAATTGTAGAGTTTTCCGAAGTAAGATATTGCTGTAAATTTTCTTCTTAGCAACAATAAAACCCCAAACTTGGGAGGATACGATTGGACCAGTTTGATTGAGTTATAATCTATCTATCTATCTATCTATCTATCTATCTATCTATCTATCTATCTACTAAAACACCCAATATGCAGCCAATGTTTTGTCAGACAAACAAGGTTTAGTATTCAGTAACTGAGAGGAATTCATAATCAGGAATTCATCAGGTGATAATATCACCTGACCTGATCTACAATGATTCTGAATGAGGATTTGGAGGGTTAAGCTACCAGAACAGCAGAGGGCAGGGTGTCACAGGTAAAATGGCACTCACCTTCCTGGCGACTGACAAAAAACCTCTTCAGAGAGTTGTACGTTCCTATCTTGATTGTCCCGTAAGACGCTTGTCTCAGAAGAGCGGGAGAAATCCTGTTCAGTGTTGAAAAGAATCACTTGTAAGAAACAGGATTATTGAATAAACACTTATGAATGACCTCACAATCGAAATGAAAAGAAATTCAAAAGAAAAACTGTGAAGGGATGCTTCATGCTGAACTGACAAGATGTATTGATACTATCGAGATCAGCATCAGCCCCCCCAACACCCTAATAGGATTAAGCGAATAGTAAATAGATGCATTACTGGTAAAAAATTAGATAGTCAAGGTTGAAATTAAAAGGCACTACTCTGAAAGACTGAACACAATTATAATGTTGTGATACATGCAACATTTGACCTGTAAAAATGGAGCATTACTACTCTCTGAGTGTGGTTTCTTAATTTCCAGTCAAACTTGTTACTTGATATCAACTGTGCGTTCCGAAGTGCACAAACATTTGCATAAGATGACTCAGAAATAACACCAGGTCGATTCAGAAGCAGCAGTTCAGCACTAAATGATATAAAAGACTTCAAACTTCTAATTTGTTAATGGCCTGAGTGGAAAACAATTTAATAGAATAGTGAAAATGACCCCTGAAGAACTGACAAACAGATCAGATTCTGTCCAAAATTGCAAGAAAAGATGAGAAAATGCTCGTTTCATACCCAGAGTAGAGTGCCCGAACTCCCTCTTCTTTTCCAATCCTGAAGAGGGCATGGAACATGCCTTTGTAGCGCACCTCTGTGTACTGGGACTGGCCTTGGACTTGTAGTCGAGTCTTGGTCAAGTCGATGGGAAATGTCCCTGAAGATGTAAAATAATAAGATATGAATAAAATTAAAGAAAATTGTACAAAAAAGGAAAATAAAAGACAATGCTCAACATGTGTTTTGGCATTAAATAAATTACACAGTGAATACGGTATCTTGTAGGTGTTTTGTGTCTTTTAACTTTCTCAAATGACTTCAAGTTTCTGTTGTCAAGGGCCTCCGCTTATCACAACCTATAAATAGATTTGGGTAAAGAATCTTGATTATTTTTTAAAAATGTTCTCTTTCTTAAATTTAGGTATTTATTTTCTTTTTCTGTTGCTTTTCATATAGTCAATAAGGCATATAAAATGTTTTCATTACAAATAATTCTGGTGTGGGATCTAAAAATGTGCTACTTTGACTGGCAAAGTAAAACTGCCATGCAAATCTTTTAAGATGTAACTTTATGAGCTGTATACATCCACAGTCACATCATTGTAGAAATGGCATCAAACAGCTTTGTGTTCGGCAGCACAGGAGTTTCCCCTTTAAAAATAGAGATACAGTACCACCACTCAGCAGATGATGCTGCAGCATTTCCCTGTAACTGACAAAAAAATCACCAGATGATAACAGGGTCTACCTGCAACAAGTACAAATAGTATAATGCACCCATTTAAGGCACACCATCCATGAGGATTTATGGCAGTCAGCCTTAGTAAATCCTAGCGTACCACCTACCGAATTCTGCGACAATTGAGGCCATCCCTCCGTAGATGAATGGCTTCCAGTTGAAGTTGTCCATCTCCGTGGCTGCAGCAGCTTCTACCTGCTGCAGCCCCGCTAGAAACAAGAACAAGCCCAGACAGAGGTCAACGCAATGCTGCACACCGTCATACCGCATGTCGGCGACCATGGGAGTCTAAGGATGCAGATAAACAGGCTTCCTCAGCTTCAGCATCAGAGCACACTGCGCCGGAAAGAGGCAAGCCGCTAACGACAACACCGCAAGGTCAGTCATATTTGTGGCGGGCTTCCTATTGGCCGCCAATTCTATCAATCACGAATTGCGGCATCCTATTGGTGGAGACGGCACGTGGTGATGGTAGTTTGGCAACAGCTAAAATGTCACGAGTGAGAAGTTATTTATCAATATTTCCGATTCGAGACAGAAAACTGCAGTACTAAGACACTGCAATTCCATGTGATTTTGATAAACAGTATAAATATAAGCCTGCACGCTTACAGTGTTTCATACAGAGAATTGTGTTACAACCGTTTCGAATATCCGGCTTTTATCGGAGGCTGCTATTACGCTAACCGCTATTCAGACAACACTTTTAGAGATAAGTACCCCGCTTGTTGAACCGGTAACCGATGTAAAATTACTTACATTTATGTGAAAAAAATTCACAAGAAAATCCGCCGCCCACTACTCAACTTTGTGCTCTATGATTCATCGCATTTTCGTGCACTGACTTTAATAAACGGATAAAGAAACTTATCGAATAATGGTAGCCTCCTTTAGCCGTTAACGTCAACCGAAAAGTAAATGGTTAAAACAGGATTTCCGTTTAATTTCAAAATAAAATGATCAGTTTGACCTCGGTGGGTGACAAATATGATTAGATGTAAATAATTCACTGTCAAACTTTATGGAATATTTTTGCTACAGAGCAAGAACGCACAAATGTAAAAAAGAATCATTATGGTTTAAATTAAACATTTAAAAAACATTAGTTTTTTTGTTGTTTTGCTTTGTGATCCTGGCAACGTGGAAGTATTCTTGTTTCTAGGCACCAACGCAGAGGGAGCTTTTCCAGCTCCAACGTTTTTTTTAATTAAATCTAATTAAAACTTTTTCTAACTTTATGGAACCGTTAAAAACGTATAAAAGCCATTCAGACTCTTTATGCAAAGGTGAAATCGACAGGGAAAGCTAATTGAAATCTAGATTCCCCTCGAATCAATTGGCAGGGGTGTTCTATTTTTCCATATCACTTCTTCCTAGCTGGCCAACTTCTTTCAACCCATCTTGGGGCAAGCTCTGTACAAGGTATTATTAAGGCAAAACAGGAATTATCTTGAGGGGTGATGGTTTTCAGTGATTGTTGAAATATGAGATGCTCCAAAAAAAAATTTTCTTCTGAGATACTGTTACAAAGGTGTGGTTCATAAGAGCTTTCTGGAGTTTGAAGTGGCAGAACACATGGATTATACTGCCTTAAATGAAGAAATACTAAGCTTTTTTGACAAGCATGGGCTGGAGTATAAGGAAAAACCTTGCAGGTTTGGGCTACAATGGTGCTGCAGTCATGTGTGGAGCACATTCAAGCTAAAATAAAAAATGTAGCCAAACACACCATCTAGGTCAGGGGTCACCAACCTTTTTTAAACGGAGGGCTACTTCATGGGTACTGAGTCACACGAAGGGCTACCAGTTTGATACACTCTTCTGAAATGATACATTTGCTCAATATGCTTTTAACTATACTTTATTAATAATCATTAATGATACTCATCTGTGACAACAGTGACAACAAAATGGGAAACATATCAATATCCCCCACTTTATGTCTATTTATCTCAGCAACTGTTAACTTTTCAGATGATCACTTACTCTACATCACTACATTTACATAGGGGTTTTCAATTTCACTCATTTTCACTAGCCACTGACAAAACCTTTTAACAAATCATGAACTATGTTGCACCAAAAGAAATCTGAAATCTCATGACCAAATCTTTAACAGATTGGCATTGTATGCTGTTCACCAGTGCATTGTAATCTGGTGTGTAACTTGACACTGCAACTGTGAGTGCATATTTCAGATGTGCTTTTTCTGCCCGTAGTGCGATTCCCGGTGGCTAGTTAGTTAGCATGCTAGCTTTTGTGGCACGAAGTGAAGTGTTTCTCCACATTGTGCCGCTTTGCCGTCGCCACAGTTTCCCCGCAAATCAGACACACGCAGGTTTGTTTTACAGTCGTAAAAAATAACTACTCCTCCCATTCGTTGTGAGAGAGATACGTTTTCTTTCGTTTTTCTCCCATGTTTTTGGGGTAAGAAACTGCACCCATCTCCGCTGCGCCCGCTAGCTTACTCTCCACCGACACTGTTTTTGTTTTGTCACGTGCACAATACTGACCTTTGAACTAGAGAAAACTTAAACTTAATATATAATTAACATATTTTAAAGATATTGTCATTTTAGATTAAATCTATATGAATGCAAGTGTGATTAAAATAGAATAGCAACGGAACAAAATTAAATTTTAGACGCTTTGCACTATTGAGTTGTGCTATTTTTAGAACAGGCCCGCGGGCGACTCGGGTGGTCCGTGCGGGCGACCCGGTGCCCGCGGGCACTGTGTTGGTGACCCCTGATCTAGGTTCACTATGGTGCACACTGCTTAAACCTGGTCAAATTAGACTCTAAAAAGTGTGGCAGAAGCAGGAAACTTCTATTCATTGTTGGAAAGAATGTCGAAATGCTATGGACAGGTTGCCTGCAATAGTAAAGTCGCTTGAATAGATATATGAAACATAAGATATGAAATATTTAAAAAACAACACAGAGTATGTGCATAAGGTGCAATGGACTAACCTAAAGCAAGAATTACTTTACTCAAAGCAGTATAAATCACCAGGAAAAACAACAAAATAAATTGATCTGGTGTATATTATACACATTTTCAGACATAGCAAGATTAGGTTTAATTTTATTACATAGCATTTTTATTTTTTGTGGGAGTTTTTTTAAACTTATCAGACAAAAATATTGCAGATGACCCAGTTAAATAAAAAGGTTAATTGAAATGTTTTACAAACATTCCTTGAGTGATTACGATATAATAAAAAAAACAATACATGTTTTTCACTCTACAATATGTAAAATCATGCTTAAAACATTGTTTCTTTAAAGCGTATTAAATATATTTGGTTGAATATGTAAGGAAACATTTGAAACACATCTTGGTTGCTGCTTGCAACCATCTTTGATTTTCATACAAATTGTGCAATAGTGGAACACAGTCACATAACCTTCATACTGCATGCTGATAATTGTTTTTCTAAGTTACAGAGAACCTTTAAAGGTCTTAATTTGATTTCACAACAAAACAAATTCAGATTGGCAACTTTATAAAACTAATACAATATATTTTTGAAAAAATGTCTCACTCATCAGTTTAATTGTTTTTGTGGTTTACAAACTGAAAAGGATTCCCCACAGAAGCGGATCACCAGGTATTCAGGTGTAGAGTAATAAACCATAAACACAAAATCAAGCTTCTTGCAATGCAAAGACTGTAAAACCTTTTAGAAAACAAGACACGAGCAATAAGTGTAAATTTCCCTACTGAATTCCATCTTCTGACTTTCTCTTTCCACTGGTGAATTTGTAAGAATTTTTTTCTTTTTGTCATAAAATACTTTTGTTTTGTTATTCTTTCCTGTCTCTAATAATTATATTTTATTATCAGACTTATTTTTGCATGTCTTGCATGTTCCCCAACCGGTGACTGTTTTCACCAAACTCTATCCTTAGGGTAACTCATAGGGTAAAAATCTTTTGCCTGCTCAAATATCTACTTTTTTAAGCTCCACTCATTTCATGACCTGCAACTCAACTTTGCCAGTCTGATGCAATAAAAAACCCGATGTGGTCATTTGTGTGTTGGAGTTTCTCCTGAAATCAGCACACACAACAACAACAGTGAGTGTTCAGTCATTTTTATGGACAATCTGTCACTCAAGTTCAACAACAGCTAATATCCCGTCCATTTCCTTCACACCTCAGTTTTCATCAGTAGAAAAATAGAAATGCTCAGATACTCGATTTCTTTGAGTATCTGAATCATAATTTATTTAATTTGTCAGAGACGATCTGAACGATGATTCAATGAACAATGAGACAGGGTTAGAGCTCAGTTCAGAGAATCCTCAGCAGGACATGAGATGATACTCGGTGTTTCTCCTCTCTCGCCCCTTCATTTTGTTCAGTAATAACTGGCAGAGGGGGTGCTTGATGGCAGACATGGTGGCAGGTTTTGCTCAGTGCTTGACTCCCTCACACGCCAGTGTGTGACACACGAGAAGGTGTGTGTGTGTTCACAGCGTGGTTCTCAGCAGACGGATGACCCGCTGGTAAAGCTGCTGGACAACCGACACCAGATTCCTGAGATAAGGGGAGAAAGGCAAAAGTGAGGAAACATGTCTAACATAGAAAGAGTCCTCAGGCACAGTTCTGACTCACAGTAGTGAGTCGACATGTTCAGGGATGTGTTTTTTAGACATCAGAATCAGAATCAGAAATACTTTAATAATCCCAGAGTGAAATTATTTTTGTCAATAGCTCCATAAATAAAACAACGGCATATACATATATACATGTCTATAGATATGTACATATATATATATACAGTATATACAAAATTTCACATAGAATATAGATAAATATATACATAAATAGCTATATGTATATATATATAGGTCTAATAAGTGGTGGTGATAATGTCAATATCAGACCCCCGTTCATTTGGCATTTTGGTGCTGGGATTATTCTTTTTTTTTATTGAGGATGCTTACTTTTAATCCATCCATCCATCCATCCATCCATCCATCCATCCATCCATCCATC